AAAAGGTCACCAGTAATTACCCGATCCCATCCCGTCGTGTTTATCAGAAGATCAGCTAGATCCGGTAGGGCTTGAGGGCTGCTTGGAGGGAGGCCAGGTGAGGTAGGTCCAGTCCGTCTCTAAACTAAAACTTGCGAGGCCTGGAGATCTTTCTCCTGTCTTTAGGAGCACGGGGTAATGTGGAATGGGGAGGCAGGAAATGTTCATATGGCTTCAGGGAACGTTGCCAGAAACAGATTGACTTTCTAGAAGGCCTACCCCAAGGGTTTTGCTGCGCTGGGATCTTGATCATGTATCAGAATTACAGGCCCCCCAGCCCGTGGTGGGATCGTGTCCAGACAGCTCCACTGCACATGAGGGTGATCTCAGCACTGGGGAGGATCAAGCTCAGTCAGCCTGTTTTATACCGTGCAAGTCGCAGCTCAGAAAAAAGGAGTTTTAAACCCCCAGCAGACTGCTAGAAAGTCAAAGAATCGGGGCGTGTTCCTCGACTCCGGCTAGGGTGAGTTGAGCCAGCAGGGATCAGAGCCGAACACACACGCACTGACGTTGACCTATACCCTTAAATGGAGAGGCACCCTTGTCAGGCACAGCTGTGCACGCCAATCAAGCCAGCTACTTGGGAGGCTGAGAGCTGGAGGGTTGGTGCAAGACCTGTCCTGGAAAAATCACATGAGAATCTATCTGAAAAACAGTGAAGGAGAAGGAGAAGCAAGCAGAGGAGGAGGAGGAAGAGGAAGAGAAAGGTAAGAAGAAAAAGGAAGAAGGGAAGGAGGAGGAGGAAGGCTTGCACCAGTGCTCAGATAATTAGCCTAGCACCCAAATGTCAGCCTGATTCTAGAGCAAAGTTGAAAGAACATAGCCCAGAAAAACATTTGAATTACGAATCGCTCACTGCCTGTTTCAATTCCAGAATAATGATAAAGTAAGCTCAGAAGATACGATACACACAGGATATTTTTATTCAGTGTATCTTGTAGCTATTATTTAGTCGATTACTTGGTAGACAAAGTGGTCACGTGGACCGTCACAGTAATCAGAAGCACATAGCCTGATTTTGTCTCACAAGGTTGCTTCCTGTCTCTGAGGATGGGAGGCTGTGAGCTGTCGCCCGCAGCAGAGCTACGTGGCAGAGACGTCCGTCTCTGCGGGGCTGGTCATGACCCATGAGCTATCGACAGTGAACACTGCTTGGTGATGAAGTAAACATCTTGAAAAAGAGGAGGAGGATTCATCAACCTCCTCCCACAGCTCCCACAACTAAGCTTTGCTTTCTGGCCCTGTCATGTGTCCATCCTCCTCCTGGCGATGACCTGGCTCCTCGCAGTACTTTAGGTCCAAGAAAGCACAAATCCCTCGCAAGGCAGAAACGTAACTGCCTTCGGGCCAGCGTGACTTCTATGGCCCACTGAATACAAGATGAAGATGAAACGACCAAGCGCTCCACGGCTCCTCCTCTGTTTATTGTATCTACTTGTATCAAGATTGTTCTACTCTCTTTTGTACACTGTCAGAGGTAGCATTTCCAGTATTCGGAGAGGAATGTACCCATTCAATTCGACTAATTTTCCTGAAAATTAAGCACAGGTGGCAAAATAGTAAGCACAGCACTGGCTGAGATACTGAGATGGCTCCATGGTTGAGAGACCACTGACAAGGGTCTTTTTAGTAGGAATGACATTGGCTGTTATCTTTAGCACCTGCTGGCATTTTGTGGCAGATGTGGCAAACTGGCTACAAAAACACCAGAAGGGACAGCGGTTGTCACCCACACTGCTGTCCACCAGCTTCCAGGACGTTCCGGTGCGGAGGGCACGGTGGGCACTGTAGCGGAAGAGGTGTGGACAGCCAGGAGAGGGGCTGAGTTTCCTGTGGGCGTTTCCTTCCTTTGCCTCACATCTTCAGTGACAAGCAGCCAGGCCCGGCTGTTGGGGTGCAGGGAAGCCAGGTGGGGGGGGGCGGCAGTCATGGCTGCCCTCCTGCCAGGTTTCTTATGACTGGGGACAATAAAATATGCTGGTGTTTAGGCCAGTGTTTATAGATTTATATGTTGTTTGACCAGCTGCCAAGTGCTACTCTGATACCCATAGGAAATCAAATTCAGGGTTTTTAGTGACACATTTACTGTGACCCATGAAAAAAGGAATTGTTTAGCTTATGAGATTACTTAGCTGTTTTTGCACTGATATAATTTATTGGCGTATATTTATTGCATACTTGGAGAATTCTAATCATTCCTAGGAGATTATTTTTGATTGGGAATGTATAATAAATTCACTTTGGTGTCTCTCTTCATGCATAAATCTTTGACTTTCTCTAAATTAGGGACTGTAATTGGCAAATTACTCAGGATCCCCCTTTGATACCAAATGCGTTTGCCTGTTTATCGAGCCTTTATGAGGAGAGGTTACTGCGCAGTCGGGAATGGTTCCTGGTGGTTATTCTTGCTTTCTGAGGAATGGCTCTCGTTCTCTGACCGTAGTGTTTGCGTGGCTGAGGGTGGGAACTCCGTGGAGAGGGGTCACTGTGCTTTCAGGTCATCAGAGTTGCATGGAGTCGGCCACACCAGGGCTGCGCCTGGGTGGCCGCTGCCCCTCCCCCACCCCCAGTCCCTGTACCAGGATGGCGTAGACAGCCACCACTGACTGCACACTGTGACCGCCCTCACGGGTGGAGAGGTTGGGTGGGTCCCTGGACTCAGACAGACCACGGAGACACGGCAGGAGCGGGACTTGCCTCTCTTAGAGATGCGCGGTTGATCTCTCCCGGGAACGCTGGCAGCTCTCCCTGTTCCTCTCCCTTGGAGCACAGAGTCAGGTGAACGATGGTGCCTGCAGCATGCCCAGGTGTGCGGGCTCCTGTTCACAGAATTCTCCCTTTTGTGTTCTGTGTTTGGTTGTGTCATTCTGAACTTGGGGGTGCGGCGTGCTGGGTGATCATAAAGGAGGAGAGCGGCACCCACCCCTCAATGGACAGAGCCTCGTGGTGGGGGCAGCCTGAGGCTGCCCGGCTCGGCTTCCGCCGAGAGCCGTGGCTGCTGACCACCTCGAGGACAAGCCTTGGGAGTAAGGATCTGCCCTGCGCGCTTAGTCTTGTTCTGCTTGCAGCTAGAACAGATGGAGCTTCAAAACATTTGTCACAGACTAGAAACTGAGGCCTGGGCTGGAGCCTCCTTAAGGTAAAAGTTCAGTCTACAGATTGAAGAGAGGCTGAGACGTGTCCTCCGAGTGGAGAGCCGTGTCCGCGCTGCAGTGAGCACTGTTCTAAGTACCGCGGTCTGGAGAGAATGCGCCTGCACCATCGTTCTGAGAGGTTCACCCCAGATTGGGACTAAAAGACATGGTCTCAACGAAAATCTGTCTGCGCTGCACCAGACTCGCTCTAAAACGTTTATGAAATAGCTGTCTGTAACTCTCCCGCGAGAGGAAAAGTCACCTGGACTCGGAGTTTGCGGACCTGGAGAGGGGGGCAGTGGATGTTGGACAGAGGCCGGGGACAGGGATCCTGAGGCGGGATGTGTGCAGGGGCCTGGCTCCCGGCGGCAACAGTGGGAATCCCCAGCTGGAGAGACAGAGATGAGGACCGCAGCCCCCAGACGCACGGAAAGTGCAAACCACTTTCTTGGGAAGAGGCTCTTGGCATCACGAAAACAAGTGCCACTCACTCGGGCATCCGCTGCCAGGAGTGGATCACAACAGACAGAGCCGCAGTGCGGGACAGCAAGATCAACAGTGTGACGGGGGGTCCGTCCTGGCCAGGCTCGCAGGGAGGTGCAGCGCCTGTGGTGGGGTGGGCGGGAGGGTGCGGTGTCAGGATGGTGTTCCCTTTTGTAAATCAGAAATGGTCCAATGAGCCTCACGTTCATACGTTGAGCTGAATGCCTCAAACGGCATCTCCCAGGCTTGCCCGGTCAGCCACGTGCGTCTCCTGCGCTCTGTCCAGACCCTCAGACGCTCCTCCTCCAGCCCGTCCCCAGGCCGGGTCTCCCACTCCTGCAGGGATGCGGTGAGCCCACGCAGCGACAGGTTTCCTCACGGACGTCCCCCAGCTGCCAATCCAGTACTTTGATTTATATATGCCCCAAGATTGATGTCGGGCTTTAAAAACTTCCTCAGCTCCATTAACAGAAAAAACACTGCATCAAATTGTTCTTTTAGCCTATCAACATTTATGGGCATAGTATAAAGTACCAACTAAAATTTATCAGACATGAAGGCTAAGCATAAATGTCATGCTGATAAAAATCCTAACAACTAGAATGTCGTTCAAAAGTAAATATCTCACAGGTCGAAAGTGGACGGCCCTTTGGAAATGGTGAAGGTGAGGATTCAGATACACCAGACCCCGAGGGCCCCGGAGGCCCCGGCTCAGCTGCCCAGAGCCGTCCAGCGAGCTCCAGGCTCAGAGCTGCCCAGGGCCACCCAGCGAGCTCCAGGCTCAGAGCTGCCCAGGGCCACCCAGCGAGCTCCAGGGCCACCCAGCGAGCTCCAGGCCTGGAGGTGTTTCTAGCCACCGTTCCCCGAGCCTTGGTTTCTTTTCTCATGAAAACACAACATTCATTTTGCTTCAAAAGTGCATTCTCACATTTCAGCTAAGGAGAATGTCCAGATGGAGTACGTTGATGGAGATATTCTGAGGGGAGTGATCTTCATCTGTATTGTTCATAACAAAAAATCATGTGCTTGGAACCCGTGTTTCCATCCTGTAACAGCGCTTTGGTCAGAGAGGCATCGATTAACTACAACATTTGTCTCGTCAGCGCCTCCTCTAGTGGCCCGTAATCTTAAAAGACAGCACATTAAACAATTACCTTTCTCCCAATGTCGCAACACGATTCTGTTCTGGTTTTGGAATTAAACATGGGATGACTTGTGCATCTGAAATTGTTTTCAAAAACGACGCTTTGACCAGCGAAAAGACACCACTCACCAAGTTGCTTCCCTGTGGGCTTAGCGAGTTCTGTGCACTGTTGCATGGTTCATGTCTTCTCTCATTTTCAGAAATTGAGAAGGGGGGCTGTGGGGACCCCGGCATTCCGGCCTACGGGAAGCGGACTGGCAGCAGCTTCCTGCACGGGAACACACTGTCCTTCGAGTGCCAGGCGGCCTTCGAGCTGGTCGGGGAGAGGGTCATCACCTGCCAGCAGAACAACCAGTGGTCGGGCAACAAGCCGAGCTGCGTGTGTGAGTACCCGCTTGTGTGTGTGTGTGTGTGTGTGTGTGTGTGTGTGTGTCCCTGGCCTGCCATGTGGAGGAGCAGTCTAAAAGAAGGCTTTCATTTGTGGATAACTGCAGCAGCATCAGGGAACCAAGGTAAGATCATAGAGAGTTCAAGCTAAGCCCCAGGTGAGAGGTCACCGCTCTAGAAGAGAAAGACATGTTTTTGAGAAATTCCTAATACATTCTACAACAGCTTTTTATCATTTATAATTGGAACACAATCCGACTTTCTTAGGTCACTAATTATGAATACCTTCAAAATTGCACACTAATGGAAAGTGTTCACGGGAGACACACTGCCCCTGGTGGATTTTCCTGTGCCCAGCCCGGCTCTCGAGGGAGTGCTGCTGCGCTGGGGTGGAGAGCTGCCCCCAGACATTACCACACCTCCTTAGCCAATGGGTAGCATCCCTTTTTAAATCAAGCCAGCACCTCACCCTGTGTGGCCCTAGCTGAGCTGCATGACATGATGAAACAGAGAGGAGAAAGGCCATTGGCCGGGCGCCAGTGGCTCACGCCTGTCATCCTAGCTACTCAGGAGGCTGAGGTCTGAGGATCGCGGTTCAAAGCCAGCCTGGGCAGGAAAGTCCGTGAGACTCTTATCTCCAATAAACCACCAGAAAACCGGAAGTGGCGCTGTGGCTTAAGTGGTAGAGCGCTTGCCTTGAACTGAAGAGCTGGGACCGCGCCCAAGCCCAGAGTTCAAGCCCCACGACCTACCTAAAAAAAAAAGAAGAGAGACAGAGAGAGGGAGGGAGAGGGAGACAGAGAGGCAGAGACAGAGAGACAGAGAGAGAGGAGAAACACCCACATTCATTCTGGAATTGGCAGTTTCAGTGGGGCGGGACCAGCCCCAGGGCTACGGGGCAGTTGGACTCCCTGAGCCCTGAGGAGGCTCCTGGGCAGGGTCGGGTCCCTGTGGAGCAGCTCAGGATGTGTCCTTGTCTCCGCAGTCTCGTGTTTCTTCAACTTCACGGCCTCCTCTGGGATTATCCTGTCCCCGAACTACCCGGAGGAGTACGGAAACAACATGAACTGCGTCTGGTTGATTATCTCGGAGCCCGGGAGCAGAATCCACCTCATCTTCAATGATTTCGACGTGGAGCCTCAGTTTGACTTCCTGGCCGTCAAAGATGACGGGCTCTCTGATATCACCGTCCTTGGCACATTTTCGGGCAACGAAGTGCCTGCCCAGCTGGCCAGCAGCGGGCACGTGGTGCGCTTGGAGTTTCAGTCCGACCACTCCACCACCGGCCGAGGGTTCAACATCACCTACACCAGTAAGTGTTCCTGCGCCAGAGCCGCCAGAGCCACAGGTCCTCCATGCAGACAGGAAGTCCTTCACGTGGACAGGAAGTGGCAGTTTAAGGCTGAAAGTTCTGAAGTTAGGGAGTCACTAGTGAAGTAACAGGAGAAGCAAAATCATTACAGAAACCTGAACCCCAGACACAAATCACTTTTTACCTGAGAGATTTGGCCAGCTCTACCGTAGGGGGGTGGGATCTTTTGTATATCTTTTCTCTCTCTGGTTATCCATCTATTTACACATCTAGCCAACCAACCCTCCATCCATCCACACATCCATCCATCCATACATACATACATCTGTCCATCCATCCATGCATCTGCAAAGCAGATGTCACAATGCATTTGTAGCAGAAATAAAACAAAGTGCTGTTCATATGAATAATACAAGGTATCCTTTATTGACCACTTCCCCTGATACTATAGTTAGAATTTTCCAGTGATTACATTTCAGTCCATCAGCATCACTGTAGCTCTCAGGTGTAGGCTTACCATTACTTATTTTGTGAATTAAAATAAGTGGACTTAAAACTTCAGCACACTCTGCCAGTGTCAGGTGACAAAGCTCAGGACGGCCAGCCCCGTCGGTGCGCCCGCCACGGCTGCTTTCTGTGCTCCAGGAGGTGGCATCCTTTCTCTCTGCTCACTGTCCAGGAGGAGGATCTGTGTCCATGGAAACCTATTTTTCTGTCTCTCCTCCCTCTTTCTCTCTCTCCTCTTTTACTCTCATAAATACTGGTATTCTGCTTATTCAACATACTTATCAAAAATGTAAACCAAATTTGGGGAGGATTGCTTTATAACTGTAGCTTATTTATTTTTAAATGGATATTGTTGGCATTTGATTGTATGTTCTACTTTTCTTTTCCTCCAGCGTTTGGTCAGAACGAGTGCCATGATCCCGGCATTCCTGTGAATGGGCAGCGATTCGGAGACCGGTTTCTGCTGGGGAGCTCCGTGTCCTTCCACTGCGAGGATGGCTTTGTGAAGACCCAGGGATCGGAGTCCATCACCTGCGTCCTGCAGGACGGGAATGTGGTGTGGAGCTCCACGGTGCCGCGCTGTGAGGGTGAGCCTGCGCCCGCCCTTCTCCCGGGTGATCCAGCGCCGCCAAACCTGAGCCTCTAAAGCCACCATAACTGACAGCCAGAAAGATAGCCTAAGCAAAGCAAATTCATTCTCACCGCCTCAAGCAGGACGTCCAGGCTCATGCGAAGCCAGGGTTGGCTCCTCCCAGGAGCCCCAAGGGAGAATGAATGTGCTCTGGCCGTGGACTAGCATCCCTGGCTTCTGGAAACATCACCCTCCACTTGTGTCTGACTCCATGTCCAAATTCCCTTCTGATAGGGCTGGTGCGCACTGCATGAGGAGTCACCATTCCATTGCAAACACACCTCAATGGGGTGATTACTTCTGCAGGCCCCAATCTTTAAACCAGCCGGGAGCTGCTGCTGGGGGCCTAAGGCTGTGGTGGGAAATGTGGGGTGATTGGACAGACCCCAACACAGCAGCAATGCAATTTTTGACCATTTTGTGTTTATAGCTACCTAAAAGATGTGAGGAAAACATGTTTAGAGAAAAAGCTGCTGCCTACAACTATTGCTTATTTTCTAAATGTTTCAGAATCTATACTCCTGTCTTCCCTAACTTTCCATTCCAGACACCTAAGAAAATCTTTTCAACCTTATTTCCAGGAAATACCAAAGAAATACAAATTGAGCCTTCAACAATATGGTTGATAAACATTTAAATATGTTAATGGGCATCTTTTCATTCTTGGTCATGCTAGTGAGCATATAAAAATCACAGCATCATAGTGAGAATTTATATTGAGATTTTAAATTTTCCTTGTTTTTGAGCCTTAAGTTACACTCTTGAGGTTAATGTAGTGAAATATTAGAACAAACTTGAAAATATATTTGTTCACAAATGCTTTTTACAGTATTTATAAGGGCAGAGTTGGATACAACTGAAATTAAACAGCCAAGGAATGGTTGAGCAAATATATTTTATTCCAGGCCAGCAAGGTTATAACATCAAATAGACACAGAAATTGTTTGAAAAAATAAATATAATACGATATATAGAAAATATGTAAACTTATAAAAATGAAGTATTTACAGGGTATTTTAATGCATAATAATAACAAAACAAGAAAAAAGAACATTGCACACAAAAATATTGTTCATGGTAATAATTTTTCTTTTTCTCAGTTGTCCAAGGGAGCATCTATATGTTTATTTACTTGGTAGCACTGGTGGAACTTGGGGTTGGGCAAGTGCTTGGCAGGCCTTCAACCCTGAGACGATTTTTTAAAATACATCCTCAGAAAAGGAACGCGTGCAGTGGGAACTTCTGTCCGACCGGCAATGCACTGACCTGACACCAGCAAGCCCAGGGCCTCCCCGAGGTCTAAGCAGAGACTAATGTACACACTGACCTTCGAGGTCGTTAGCACAGTCGGGGGATGAAGGCTGCCACACACCTCGTCTGCCCATCCTGACCTCCAGAGTCACTCACCGATGTTTAAGGCCCAGCCGGGCCTTGTCTTTGGTGAAGGAGCCATACAATGTGTGGATGGGAGAGTATAGTGCAAGAAAAATACAACTACATATTTAAATATTAGAATATATAAATTAAAAATAAAATTTATAAAAATACAACTAATATTCATATATTATAAATATATCATTTTGTATTTTGAATTTTACACATGTTAGTAGATGGATAACTCTGATTTTTTTCTTTTTAAATTTACTTATTGTTGTTATAAAGTTGACATACAGACCTTCGATTTTTTGTAAGGAGTTAAATGTTCACTCGGGATAGCTAGACAAGGGTCTGCAGTCAATTGTGTTTTTAATGACTACTTGAACCAAACGTTTCACTACCGACCTTGTGACACGAGTGATTTTATGAGAAGATGGTTAAAATGAGCATGCCCCGCCTCTGCTCTTGTCCAGCCACGGTTCCAGCTGCCTCGGTGCCTTTTCTCGGCATCTGCCTGTCTGCAGATGCGTGGTGGGCTTTGTTGAGCAGGGAAGTAGGAAGGCCCACTAGGGTAAAGGGCTAACAAGCAGGAACGTGAGGTCAGATAAAAGGAAAACGATCACATAGAATTAGCAGAGAGCTCTCCTATCACCAGGAAGAGTCTTCACATCCAGCTGGGTGGTTAGCCAGGAAAACCTGCAGACATGTTCCTTATGAAGAACACTGAAAATGTTCCTGCCCGGAACCGAGGAGGTAAGCCTCAGAGAGGCAGGAAACTTGCAGGTAATATGGCAGACGAGACGCCCTCACCAAGGACTTGCTGAGTTGAAATAGAAATCCAACCTCCAGAGCAAGCAGATCAAGTAGGGAAACAAATCAAAAGATGGGAAAGAAGTCATTCCAACAACAAAGCTGATTGAAGGATGAGTGTTTAGTATTTTCTCCAAAGTCATTTGTAGATCAGGTGTGTAGTTGGCTACCTTAATAAGTTAAAATAAATCTAGATCGTAGCACTAACTAATGTACAGTGTTTAATAAGAATAGAGCTACAAACATGTATCTAAAATCAAAGGGCCCATTCTAGTTAGTTGTATGCTGAAGAGAAATTCCAATGTTATGTCTTATACTATCTGGGACCACAAGATGGAAAAGTCTTAATATTATGAAAAACGTAAAGCAACAAATGCAAGGCCAAGAGGAAAATGCATATCTCACATGAGGACTTGAAATAAATGAACGTAAAGTACACCACCAGGAAACTAGCAAAAAGAACAAAGAAACAAGCAAAACCCAGACAATGAAACCAGCAAAAGTCTCACCTTAGAAACAGGAATGCAAGGCCAGTGTGAGGCCATACTGCTCAGACAAAACCTCCTTAAAGGAATCTAAGAGGAACATTATAGGGTTTTAGATCCATCAGAGAGAAATGGCTATTATTATAAGAATAATATGAATTTTGCCTAAAAAGTGAAAAACTCACGTCGATGTAATTTTTTGAAGATCTGTATATGATTTATTCCCACAGAAGTTTTCTGGATGCCAAGGGTGTTGTGGCTGTGGAGTGTGGAGCCTCTGTAGCTGTCTGTTTCTCTTCTACCCCTAACCTGCTGAGTGCCCTGACCCACTCTGAAATAGACGTTAAGATAAGGACATCACAGCTCATGAATGTGTGGTCAAAGCTGGTCAAATCTCCATTGGTCAGGATGGTCAGTCTGGGCTGAACTAGATTTGACAGAAGTTGCTCTGCTTTCTATGACTCAGCCACCATTTAACAGTCACCTGAGTTAAATGAATAAAACACAGCATACAGACTCACATCACTTGAACTTCAGATTCGATCAACAGATGTTGGTTGAACTCCAAACGCATGTAAACTATGGATGACAGCTGCGTAAGATCCTACATTGGGGCATACAGAGGTCACTAGAGGTCATCTAGCACACAGTAGAGGACAGGAGGACCCTGACCTGCGTTGACAATGCAAACTGAGCTGAGCCATTCTGTGGGGGTCTGTGTCTCCCTCTGTTCAGCGTTATCTGACAGGAGTTTGTGTTCTTCTCAGCTCCGTGTGGAGGACACCTGACAGCGTCCAGTGGAGTCATTCTGCCCCCTGGGTGGCCTGGGTATTACAAAGATTCCTTAAGTTGTGAGTGGATCATCGAAGCAAAACCAGGCCATTCCATCAAGATAACATTCGATAGGTAAGATGGGCTCCCCTCCTTTGCTGCTGCCTGCCCCTCGCTGCCTCCGCAGAGGGGACAGCGCTGCTTCGTTCCCACGGGCGCATCCGCCCGCGACCCGGTGGACCCATGTCGCAGGTCGGGTCTCTATGACCTGCCCACCAGCTGTGCTACAGTGGGACCGGGTTTCAGGTTGGCTTTGCTGTTTGGTCTTTTCCTGTCCATCCTCTGCCGATGTGAGAATGCCGTTTGAGCTGTGTGTGATAAAATGCTCAGCTGTTTGTGTCAACGTTTACATGGATTGGATGATTGAAAACCAGGAACTTTGTGGTTGGTTTGTTGTTGTTGTTTGAAACAGACTGTCCATGTGCTATATAACCTAAGGACGGACACCAAGGGTCCCCTGCTGCCTGAATTCTAGTGGCGCTGCGCTTCGCTGGCAGGGCCCTTCTTCTAGACCAGACTCCACAGTAGGAGCACTGTGGAGCCGGTTCCTTGGATTTCCCACTCCCAAATCACTGCTAACATCAGCCTAGGAAAGTTTTTAGTGAGGTTTGAGCCACCTTTAATGATCATTTGTATCTGAAGTTAGCACAAGAGTCTCTTGGGTGATAATAATTTCCAGTGTGATAATCCTTCCAGACAAAGACAAAGATTTGGTTCATACATCTTAGGGAGTGGATCCCGTTTAAATATTTACTATATTAGCTTTTGTTTGCGTTTTAATATTTTTCTTTTTATTATCTTTACATGGTTGTACAAATGAGTTGCCATTTAATGAAGCAGTTTATTAGATTTAGTTTTCCATTTTTTTATCTTTATGGTTTTCAGGATCAGAATGAGTCCTGAACAGAACACCAGTTCCCAGCCCTGTGGCGTTCAGATCCCTCAGTAGAAGTGACACCCTCTCCCTGCCCTTTTCATGGTCTGTTAGCACTTCTGTCTCCCTTGATTGCTTGAAGATGCTTTTAAAATTTCCTTCATCTGGTCCTTTCAATATTATTTCAATGTGATATTTTGTTACATACCACCTCAAGAACCTTGCCTAGCTGATATTTTTAGATGAGTGTTTTTTTTACAGTAAATATTGTACTTTCTCTGAAGATAAATTTCCTGGTGTGATATTTATTATTTCTATTATTTCACACCTGGTCCAGGGCTGCCACTCTCAAAAAGGGTGTTCTGTATGTACAGATTTAAATTCCATGCAGAAGGTATTGTGGCATGAGAGGTGTTCGGTTGGGCAAATGTGGAAAGCATCTAGAGTTTTCTGTTCCTTGGTGGTCTTAGAAAGGACATAGCTGTTGAGATGGACACGTGACCTGTCCTGGTGTCACACAGAAACGGAATATGGGTACTTCAGTGTGGTATCTCAAGTGTGATTGCTTCCACTCAGCCTACGCGCTGGAATTTGGACTCTGACATGTGGGGTCCCACAGGTCTTTGCAGCAACAGTTAAGATTGAAAGGCCACGCTGGCTCTGCCGCCAGCCCGGGCGCGGCTCTGCTCTGCTCAGTCCCGTGGTGTGCCATTTGGCTTCATGCTGGGGAAGGAAAGGGGTGAGGGAGCAGCCTTGCATGTGAAATTGACGGTCGATGGACAGCAGGGCGGCCTTCGGGCCGGGCCGTGCCGCCAAGCGCACGCCTGTGTCCCGGGGTCCTGCTCTCATCCGCTCACTCTGTGCCCAGCCAGGGCCCTGCCCGGACCTTGCTCTGTACCCAGCCAGGGTCCTGCCCGGACCTCAGAGCAGCCTTTGGCTCACCATTACCAAATGAGTGTGAGGCCGATGGTGCCCTGGCTGCTCCCGGAGGGCAGAGTCAGACTGGGAACCAGGGTTAGCTCTCGGACGATGAGACAGTCCATCTAGAAAGCGATCTACCCGCCTGGATGGAGCCATCATCGCATCCTCGGGACCCCAGGGGCAGCAACTTGATAGAAATACAATTACAGGCCAGATTTTGTAGAAGCACAAGAAAAGAAAAGCACTTCCTGGAGGCTCTTCTAACTTTTCTGAATCATTAAGGCTTGCTTGCTTTCTTAACTAGCAACTCACTCGTGTTAGTTACGTGGTGCCAATAGAGTGAATGTGAGCAAAAATGCATCTTTGAAATATGTTGGGAATTCATCCTTGTCTTGAGAGATCATTTCCCTTCACGGTGTCCATTTCAAGGGTCAGTGGCCATGGTAGAAGCGCAGGCCCATGCACAGTTTGTGAAAATGCACAAACACTGATTTTTCACGAATTGGAGATGATCTCTCTGTCCTGTCTGGTTATGAGTCTCTACTCTGGTTTTCACCATGTGTTTGTGTCCAAGCCGAGTGACATCGTGTTCCTATCTGGAAAGATACAAAAATGGAGAAGTTTAGAATGTGTTTTTACTTCCAGGGAAACATAAAATATGTACCCAGATTTTATGATCTGTCCGTCTGTCTGTCCCTGAGTCTTCGTTTGTACATATGCACCGTGCATTGGGGTTGTAGGATGACAGCAGTGGGTGAAGTCTGAGGTCTCACCCTGCCGGGAATGCCTCTCCTGCCCACTTCCTCTTTGTGCAGATTCCAGACGGAAGTCAATTACGACACGCTGGAGGTGCGGGATGGGGCGGCCAGCTCCTCTCCGCTGATCGGAGAGTACCACGGCACGCAGGCACCACAGTTCCTCATCAGCACCGGCAACTTCATGTTCCTGCTCTTCACCACTGACAGCAGCCGTTCCAACGTGGGCTTCCTCATCCACTATGAGAGTGAGTGACCCCCCGCGCCCAGCCGCGCGCTTGTCTTCCTGTGTGTGGGCAGCTGGGCCTCCATGAGCCGTCAATTAGTGAGTGATCACCTGGTATTTATACAAAGCACCAGGGACTCTGGCATGCTGCTTGAGAAAGAGGTGTGAACAGGAGTCACTTAGAAGCCAAACAAATTGCATTGTTGTCTGTGGAAATTCTTCATTTTCAGGGCACGAAGGAGGGAGGCTTACCTGGTGTGGAAAGGAACTACATCTTGATTTTGCAAGGTTTTGGGGGTTGCTCTTTTAACCGTTTTAATGTCACCTCTGCGAATATCTAGTACAGTGATACACATAGCTTCCCAATGGAAGGAATGGGTCCTCCCTACATTCTGGATTTCACATCTTGTCTTTCTTTTTCAAAGTTTCCTAGGGAATAGCAGAATGGATAAAACTGAAAGAGAACTTAAGCATTATTCTAGTTACAATAAACCCATCAACCCAGGCGTTTTCCTGTGTCTGGAGGGTTCCTGTTATCATTTTAGAGCATAGTGTCTTCTTAACTCTGGTGAAGAATGGAGAGAGGTGGCGGTGTGCTGAGCGCAGGCCGCTCTGCCGTCCACCCGCTGTGTGATTTAGACAAGCGTTGTGGGGAGTGTATGCTTGGTGGCCCATGCCCGTGTACAGTACACGTGTGCACAGCTGTTTTCTGGGGTTCGCAGAGCTGTTGTTATGGCAGGACAGAGGAGGCAGCGTCCCTGACGTCGCTGACAGACGTCATGGAGGCACTGATGCTCGAGTATGCTGAAGGAAGGTGGGAGGAGGCCGGGGCTCTGGAGTCTCACTAAGTCCCCACTGGGCCTGACTTGCCTAACCCTTTCATCATGGCCGCGTTGGCCGGGGCCTGCCGGCTTCCATCTGGAAGCCTCCAGGGGCTGTGAAAATGGAGATGCCTGTAAACCACTCGATAAACATCACTGTACCCTAGATTAGACTTTTATAAAGACTGGCAGCTTCCCCAAGAGCCTCTGGTGTGTGCTCCACGTGGGGCACTCTCAACGTGAACTGCCGCTTTGTTCGCGAGCAGCATGTGCGTTCGTGGTCGCCTGGTTCACAAAGGCTTTGGGCTTCAGCTAAGAAAAAAAAACTGAACGAGAACTTAAGCATTATTCTAGTTACAATAAACCCATCAACCCGCGCTTTCCTGTGTTGTCAGGAAAGGAAATTCTCTAAGCTTTCTCAGCAGGCCTTGCTGGGCGTGTCTTCTGAGTTAAGGGGGGGCGGGGTGCCACGTTCTCCCCCCCTCCCGCACTGACATGGAGGCTCTTCTGGTCCCACCCAGGCTGGTGATCCAGTTTGAAATTTCACCCATCATCTGTTAGGGCGTGTCTGGTGCCTGTCCCACATCAGCAGAATGCGTGGTTAAACTGACTGCTGTATTTCTAGCATTTCCATGCTTCAGGCCTGTAATTCCTACTACTGGGGAGAAGAAAACAGGAGGACCATGTTCTCAGGCCGAGGCCAGACGACTTCACTGAAAACCTTACCTGGAAAGGGGGAGCGGCACAGGTGGCAGAGTGCGTGCCTAGCAAGCTTGATCCCTGATTTCAGCCCCCAGTACTGCAAGATACAGTTTAAAAGTTCGGTTTATCTAACCATTTTTCTCTTTTTTTCCTATTGCCAATTTTGTATGGGAAAAAAGCTCTGATTGTAATTGATCCATTTCATGTTAGACACAATTCCTTAATGGATTATTTCCACATTATATACAGTGATTCCACAAGAAACCATCTGAAGAAATGCAACGATTTACTTGATTTTTCTCAGAATCATGGCCAGTTTCTCTGTCTCCCTTTCTTCTTTGGAGAGAATTCTTGTTCTGGTCTTGGTACTGATTGCCAGTCATCTGGCATTCCATGCCAGGGTGTGAAGGTGAGGGAGTGAGATCTGCTTGGAAGTGGGCTTGGGGCTTCAGGCTGCACTGCACCCCCGCTGCCCGGCTGCCGAGCCTTGGGCGGGACCTGAGCTCCACATCCGGTCATCGTGTGCACCGCTGTGTTGTGTTTATCGTAATGAGCACTGGTAGTTTTCCAGGATTTAAAATAAGGGTTCAAGAAAATATTTCCTGGCAGAAATCAATGGTGCACGTTTCTTTCCACTCCTTTCTCTCTTCATTGTTCCACCACATTTGCCTTTGGGGAGTGGAGGTCAGACAGAGCCTGCCCCGAGCAGGCTGCCAACCCTGGGCCTGGGCTTGAGCCCAGCCCCCGCCTGTGGAGCCTCTCTAGTCTTGCTGCCGCTTTTTGTTGACAGTTGGGCACACAGGCCCATGTGAGGGAGTCTTGTGCTCCTTCTCCTCTGCCCTGCCTGCAGGTTGGACTGAAATCACCCCGCCCAGGAGCCTGTGTGAGTAGCCCAGTGTGGCCAGCCCTCAGCCTGCACCGGGCACTGAAGTGCGGGGTGGGCGCTGCATCTCCTCTCTCCACCATGGCTCAGGGGCCGCCCTGCGTTCCGCCCTCCTGGCTGTGTTCTATTCTACTAATTAGGAAAGAGCATCAGTCACCACTTATTTTAACTCTCTCCCTGGAGTTTGTATTTCATGTTGTGACTGAAGGAGGGAAGGCGTATGCACAAGTCCTATCATTCAAAAGCCTCTGACAAAATACTGCCAGTGATCAGAAATAGCATCTCAAGGGATCACTATGGGGGAATTAAAAGTCTGAAGAGCAGATGTACGTTGCAGTTTTGATTAAGATTTTGGAAATCATGGAGAAAGTTATGAATCTTACTGAGCGTCAAATTATAATCACAGCAACTCTTTGCTTCTGTGTATTCATATTTCAACAATGTGCTCATTATTTGTTCCTTCTTTATCTTTGCAAAGATAAGCTATTTTAGAAAAAGAAATGTTCAGCTGTAAAGAATTCCTCGCTAGGTGCCAGTGGCTTCTGCCTGTTGTCCTAGCTATTCAGGAGGCTGAGATCTAAGGGTTGTGGTTCAAACCCAGACCGGGCAGGAAAGCCCCATGAGACTCTTACCTCTACTTAACCACTCAAAAACCAGAAGTGGAGCTGTGGTTCAAGTGGTAGAGCACTACCTTGAGCCAAGGAGGTCAGGAACAGCGTCCAGGCCCTGAGTTCAAGCCCCAAAATGACCAAAAATAAATTTAAAAAAAAAGAGAATTCCTGAAACTGATGTGACCGAATTATTGAACTTGGTGCACCTCATCTTCCTTCCGCATCTCTCAGCACAGCACAGTCACAGCGGGTCAAGGACAGGGTTTTAATTGTGTGGCTCTACAGAATGCAGCTTTGGAATATCAGGCCTAGTGTGAGGCCGAACCCCATCGTCTGTGTGTGTGGCTGGGCGCACGTGTGGTGTGAGGTTGGACCCTGTGCGCGTGGCTGGGAACGTGTGTGGTGTGAGGCTGGACCCTGTGCACGTGGCTGGGTGTGTGTGAGGTGTGAGGCTGGACCCCATCGCCTGTGCGCGTGGCTAGGTGTGTGTGAGGTGTGAAGCTGGACCCCATCGCCTGTGCTCGTGGCTAGGTGTGTGTGAGGTGTGAAGCTGGACCCCATCGCCTGTGCACGTGGCTGTGTGCATGGCTGGGCACGTGTGTACAAACGTGAAAATCGTCACACGAAGGCCAGAGTCTAACAGAACACTCACATGAGCAGCAGGTGTGGGGAAGGATCGAGAGAACGGGCACCTTTGGATTCCGCAGAGCAGTGCGCTGGGTCCCAGCGGTAAGAAGCCGAGGTCAGAGGCCGGGGTCACCCCGGCGTGCTCGCTGGGCGTCGGGTCACAGCCCGCGCTGTGACAGCCCCTGGCTCGGGGACGGCCGCTTGCGGACGCAGACCTGGTCTTGGTGTTGCACGCGTGGGTTACCGGGTCCCTCTGCCCGCAGGCGTGACCCTGGAGTCCGACTCCTGCCTGGACCCCGGCATCCCCGTGAACGGCCGTCGGCAGGGCAGCGACTTCGGCATCGGCGCCACGGTGACCTTCAGCTGTGAGCCGGGGTACACGCTGAGCGACGACGAGCCCCTGCTGTGCGAGCAGAGCCACCAGTGGAGCCACGCCCTGCCCAGCTGCGACGGTGAGTGGACGAGCCGGGGCGGGGGGCGGGACCACGGGGGTGGAGGGGCGGGGCACGCACCCAGTGCAGCCACGCCCTGCCCAGCTGCGACAGTGAGTGGACGAGCCGGGGCGGGGGGCGGGACCACAGGGGTGGAGGGGCGGGGCACGCACCCAGTGCAGCCACGCCCTGCCCAGCTGCAACGGTGAGTGGACGAGCCGGGGCTAGGGGCGGGACCACGGGGGTGGAGGGGCGGGGCACGCACCCAGTGCAGCCACGCCCTGCCCAGCTGCGACGGTGAGTGGACGAGCCAGGGCGG